AGTTTTCAGCGGACACAACATCTTTGTTTGTATGTGGTGCTGAGGATCGAACCCGGGCCGCACGCATGCCAGGCGAGCGTGCTACCGCTTGAGCCACATCCCCAGCCCTCCCTTTTATTTTAAACAGTCAATTGGTCTGGGCACAGTGACACACACCTGTGATTTCAGGTACTAGGGAGGCTGAAGCAAGAGGATAACAAGTTCAAGGCCAGGCTGGGCAATCTATCGAGATCCTGTCTCAAAATAATTTAAAATTGAGAAGGGGCAGGGAATATAGTTCAGTGGTAGAGTACTTGCCCAGCTTGTGGGAAGCCCTGGGTTTAGTCCCCAGCACCGCAGAAAACACAACAAAACAGCTAGTTGAGGTCTAACTGACAAACCATGAGTGGCAGATATTTAAATTTTGACATACATTCACACTCATGGAACAACCTTCATAAATGAGATAATTAGCATATTCATCATGCAGAAAAGTGTCCTCAACTGATAAAACATTGGAAATCTGTCCTAGGGGTACACCTGTAATTCCAGAGATTAGGGGATTGAGGCAGGAGGATCACAAGGTCCTAAACAAATAATGAGACTCTGTCTCCAAATATAACATAAAAAGGGCTGGAATTGGGCTGGGGTTGCGGCTCAGTGGCAGAGCACTTGCCTCGCACATGTGAGGCACTGGGTTTGATCCTCAGCACCACATAAAAATAGATAAACAAAATAAAGATATTGTGTTCATGTATAACTAAGATTTGTGCAGAGATGCTAGATTCCCTTTATTCATATTGCATTCAAGGCAACAATGCAAATTTTTAAAATGTTGATTGGGGACCTGAAATAGAAGCTTACTAAGAATCAGATCTTAGACAAAATCTGAAGAGGTGGCAACAAATCCCCAGGGAAGGTCAATGGTAAAGAGAGTGCGGCTGTTTTGTGTTGGGGGACAGGCTGTGGCCTCTGCCCTGCAGACACCCTGAGACTGCCCTGGAGGGGCCCAGGCTGGGAAGGAAAGCAAGCCTCTCCCTGATGCTGGATGACCCCCTGGCTGCCTTTCGAGGCAGACGAGGCCAGCAGGGTCTTGGAGGGCCAGGAGGGTCTTGGAGGACCGGGAAGGAGAGTGCAGGAGAGCATGGCCCCCACGCAATGGACACCGGAGCAGGAGGTCAGGGCCCTTCGCGCTGGTTCATGCGCTAGTCCAAGGGCCCTCACCCCATCCAGACAAGGCCCATGACAGCATTACCTGCCTGGAAGGTGAGCGAAGCCCAGAGGACCCGGGTGGACCGGCCCTTGGCCCTCGGATCATGGTCTTCATTCTACCAAAGAGAGAAAAGGCAGAGGAGCACAGGCACGTGACCAATAGGAGGTGGCCGCCGCCCTTTACAAAAGCTGTTTGTAGAAGACCTGGGTTTGCTTTGCGTGTCTGAGGCACTGGATTAGAGCCTCGGACCCCATGAAAACAAATAAACAAAATAAAGGCATTGTGTCCACTTACAATTAAAAAACAAAATTTAAAAATCAAGTTTCTCCTCAACCTTTGAAAACCTTTGCTACATCTGGACATTCTAGTTGTCGAGGTTGCTGAGCTATGAGGCAGAAAAAACGTCTTGAAATGCCCATTCGTTTTAAAAATATCCAACAAGAAGTGTCTTCTGGAAGTGACTGTCACACCTCTAGGAGCGACACTTGAACACATTTTTTCAGTAGGTTAGAGGACATGGAGAAGACTCTGACCTTGAGAAGAAGGTCCTGTGCCAGACTGGTTATGTGTAAACGATATTTTTTCTATTATAACCATTGTTTTGCCTTTTATTCCTCATTCTGTATATACAGTTGACAAAGCTAAGTACTTTTTTTGAAATATCTAGCCCTAGATGTTCTAAAGTGCTTGATGTATGTTAAAAGTAGAAGTAGTAAAATATAATACATTTTATAAATTTCTTTGTTAAAATTCTTATGAAATGTTTTGGGGGGCAATAGCCAAACCCTGTTGTGTAATACACATGGCATGCTGGTTCTCCAGAGCATCATGCCAGTGTGCTTAATGAGGCAAGAGTATCCTTATATCTGTGCAGTTTTGTTTTACTTTGCCATGTACATACTGTATTTAAAGGGCAAACAAGTCCTAATCAACATCTAGTCTTTCTAGATGTTAAAGAGCTTAGCAATGTGTGACAAAAGTAGAATTAGTGAACAAATGTTGTATTTTTCTATGTTAAAATTTCTAGGAAAGAATGTCTTCTGATAAGGATTAGTGAAGGGTGCTCATATTTTGAAGACATCTTCAAGGTAGAACTATTGTTTCATATGTGTAGTTTATGCAACACTCTCCTGTACATAGTGGACACGTTGAGTCCTTACCTGAAATATCTAGTCAATCTAGGTATTTTAGAAGTGCCCAATGTATGTGAAATGTAGAATTAGTAAAATATCATTTTGTAAATATCTTTCTGCCAAAATTAATATGGAATATAGTCTTTTGGGAATGAAGCTGTTAAGCCACCTCTGTGAGCAGTGTAGTACCTTCTGTCCTTGTTCAGTGATGTGGAGGAGGTGGGAGGAAAGCGAGTGCAAACGGTAATAGGTTAGTGTGTTTATACCTGGACATTTTCAGGCATCAGTTTCCTGTATGTATGGTGCATTTTGTTTTGCTGTGTATGTAGTGTGTATAATGGGAAAATGAGTCCCAATTGTGCAACATTTAGTTTTAGATATTAAAGAGGTCTCCAGTGCATGAAAAAGTAGTAAAATTAATATGTTTATTATATTTTGTGTTTAAATTCATGGGAAAGCTTGACCTCAGTAAATGACTTCTGGATATGATTTGTTCAACTATCTCTAAGCATTACATATGCATGTACTTGTCCACTGAACTGGGAGTAGACAGAAAAAAGGGAGGAGGGAAAGGATCAGGAACAATACAGTCATACTAGAAGATATATCAAATTATAACCATTACTACGTGTGCAATTTTATTTACACTGTTGTGTGCATAGTGGATACATTCTTACGTGGAATATCTAATCCTTCTATATCTTTAATAGTGCTTGATATGTTTTAAAGTAGAAGTTAGAATAAAACTTTTTGTAAATAGCTTTTTTTAAAAAATATATTTTTTAAGTTGTAGATGGACATGTTACCTTTATTTTGATTATTTATCTTTATGTGGTGCTGAGGATCAAACCCAGGGCCTCGTGCTTGCTAGACAAGCACTCTTCCACTGAGCTACAATCCCAGCCTGGTAAATAGCTTTTAAAAACTGGTAGGAAATACTGTGTTTGAAATTGTTAAACCACGTCTGAATGGTATCTTGTCAGTACTTATTCACTGGGTTGAGGGAGGTGGGAGGGAAGAAGTTACAAAAGGTGTTTTGTTAGCTTGTGCTTGAAAATCCCAGCTTACAATTGCCCTATAACGTGAATTTCATTTAACTTTGCTGTACTGAATATATTGTGTATGTACTGGAAAAAGGAGTCTTAGTTTTATAATATCTTGCCTCTGGGTATGCAGAGATTGCCAATGTGTCACAAAAGTAGAGTTAGTAAGCTAACGCATTTTGTATACTTTTTGTTAAAATTTATAGAAAAGGAGTCCTCTGAAAAGAACTTTGGGAAGGGAAATTGTAACATTACATCTGAGTGACACTTGTGCCTCTGTCACTTGTGACATAGGAGAGAAGAAATGAAAGAAAGATTCTAGGCCAGCATGATCTTATTTAGATGCTTTCAGATATAAATATTGCTACCTGTGTATCGTTTATTCAACAACACTACTATGTACTTTGTGGAAAAATATAAGTCCTCATTTGAAACATCTGTTTTGTTTTAGATGTTTAGAAGTGCACAAAGTATGTTAAAAGTAGAGATAGTAAATAAAACATATTGTAGGTTAAAAGAAAAAGAAAAGTAGATTCTAGGGATAGAATTTGGGGAATTCTTTTATTTATAAAGTGCAAGGAAAATCAGAAGCCAATAATTAGGGGTGAGGATTAACCAGAAAGGCAGAAACAAGGGGACAGTGTATTGTTACAGAAGGTAAAAGGGAGGGATGTTTCTGGAAGAGGTTGGCCAGAAGAAGGAAGTCAAATGCCATACAGAAAGGGCTGGGGATGGAGCTCGGTGGTTCAGGGCTTCTCTCGCCTGTGCAAGGCCCTGGGTTTGATCCCCCCCAAAGAAAAGTAAAGTAAAGAAGAGTAAAGTAAACTGGAAAGAAGTTTGGATGGACAGTGTTGGTACTGATAGGGAGAGCTTTTGGAGTTGAGGAAGAGAATGCTTGTGTCTGATAAAGCAAGCAGGCGGGAGCTAGAAGTTTTATTTGTAAAATAATATGGCGCACGGTTATATGTTAACTTATGGAAACTTCTCTCTCATCCTCCCAACAGCCCTGAAACCAGTGGATCTACATTCCACATATCAGGTGGGGCCCCTGATGGCCGTGGAGACCACTAGGGGCATAGTGCTGCACTGGCGAGCCCACAGCTGGCCCCTGCGCTCCCAACGCACACCAGTGGCCTCTCTACACTCTGTGGCCAAGGAGCTGGAGGGCCTGGCCGGGGGCCCCCACACCGTGGTGGTGCTGGGCCTGGGAGCCCACTTCACCACCTTCCCTCCATCCATCTTTGCCAGACGACTGGCAGGGATTCGGGCAGCTGTGATGGCCCTGCTGGAGCGGGAACCCAGTACCCTTGTGGTCATCAAACTGGCCAACACTGGCTATAAGTCTGTGTATGGCAGTGACTGGTTCACTCTGCAAGTGAACCGGCTCCTGAGAGCTGCCTTTGCTGGGCTCCGTGTGGCCTTTGTGGATGCTTGGGAAATGACCTCCAGCCTGGCCCTGCCCGACAACATCCACCCAAGGAAGCTCATTGTGAGCAATGAAGTGAACTTGCTCCTCTCCTTCATATGTCCCACCTGAGAGTTCTGAGGGTCCTGGCAGTGTGCTGATGGAGAGCCTGCAGCTCAGCCACAGGAAGTGTGAGAAGCAGTGAAGGGACCCAGAATGAGGAACGATTCAGAGGAGATTAGTTACCCCAAGAATGGCCACATGCATTAAAAACTGCTGACATTTTGGTGACTGTCCTCTCGTACAGTTCTCTGTGCAATGCACAAATAAATACGCATTACATGAATGAGATGATATTTCACATGCTCTCTTTTCAGTTCCCTTTTTTGGAAATTTTTATTGATTTAATTGTACATTATGCAGTTTTGTAAGGGGTAATACAGAGATCCCTTATATCCTGTACTTAGTTTCTACCAATGTAACCATCTTGTCAAATGGGGTACATTTTTGGGATATTAACATTAATATCAACATTCTTATTTAGATTTTCTCAGTATTATTGTCCTCAATTGTGTGTGTGTGTGTCTTGTTTTTGTTTTTTTGTTTTTTGCAGTGCTGGGGATTGACTTCAGGGCCTCGTGCATGCTGGGCAAGTGCTCCACCACTGAGGCTCTATCTCTAGCTCCTATTGCATTCATTTGTATGTATTTATTTTATGCAACGTTATCACATATACTGGTTTCTGGTTAATTCTTTAACATTTGTTTTGTAGCCTTACAAAGGAAAGATGACAGAGCCCAAGGTTTGTCCAAAATGGCAATCAGGAGAGTCTCCAAAAAACTGGGGTCTCAAAGGACTTTATCCTTAGACTGATGTGATTCAACAAGAAATCCCCAGGACCAAAGAGCACAAAGAAGAGAATCATTACAAAATTTGGTAAGTGGAAGGGTAGGGGAAGTGCCCACTAAGAACTGATGGCCATACACTGTCTTCACTCTGGTTTCTAGCCTGACATGACACTATATGGGCGGCTCAAAAATTCTCTAGGGATATAGCTCAGTTGGTAGAGTGCTTGCCTTGCATGCACAAGGCCCTGTTCAATCCCCTGCTACACACACACACACACACACACACACACACACACACACACACACTTCTCTAGGACCAGGTTGTGTGCCTAGCCTCATATACTTCCAGATCACCTGACCACATCAATTGTGATTTCTGGAGAAACTGACATTTTTCTCAGATCGCAGAAAATTTTCTGCAGAGAACATAAGAAGGAAAAAGTGCTGCAGACATTCAGAAATTATGTAACACACCAGTAACAACATAGCAAGAGTGAGAAACAGCAGAAAAAGGTTAGAAGAACCCAAACACAAAAAGCCCAGATAGTAGATCAATTGGAAAAGCATATGAAATTAGTATCTTTAAACATACTGACTTAATCAAAAAGAGGTTTTTACCAATATAAGTAAAAAAGATAGTTTTTTTATAGAACTCTTAAAATAAAAACTAGAATAATTATAATAAAAATGAAGAGCATATTTAAAGGCAGGCTGGACAGAGGCAGAGAAAGAATTAGTAAATTGGGAGCAAGAATGTAAGAAAATTTTCAGTTTCATCCAAGAAAGGAAAAACATGGATGGAAAATGTGAAATAGATGTTAGATGTGATAGAAATCCAAAGGGATCAATTGAGGTTGAGGGCAGACAGAGAGGGAGAGAGTGAGAGGGAGACACAGAGAGACAGAGAGAAAGGGGGTTGGGGAGAGAGAGACAGAGATTGATTTATTCTTCTTATTATAACATCAACATCAGTCCTACTGGATTAGGGCCCCATCCATACAACCTCATGGAGTGAATTCTTAGAACTGTATGCTTCCTTGGCATCCATGTTGAATATAAGTAAAGCTTTCTCATACCAGAAGCGGTGCTTAGTTACCCTCGACACACTTTCCAGTTTTCCACCTCCTCCCAGTTCTACACTGTGGTTCATCCAGATATCTGCTATCACCTTGTGGTGACACCTCCCTATGCCAACTATTTGATGCAAACTACTTGTTTGATCCCATACCTCCCATTTCCTGCAGTGACTACCTCCTAGTCACAGTGTCACACCCCGCTCTGTAACTTGTGCCTTCTTGCTCCTAAGCCACTAGTTACAATTATTCATGGGAAATTTCCCTGGGTAATGCCCTGGACAACAAAGAAGGCTTCAGTCCACAGGTCCCTTGCTTTCTGTCTCTTAACCTGCTGGGTGCGCCTGCTCATCCCTGATGGCTCCCTCTTTTTCCCAATGGCCTGTGAGGTGTGCTTGCCTCTTGTCTCCAGGATCTGGGACCCGATATAGCACCTCTTTTGTTGAGTTGCCTCCTGTGTCTCACCTGACTGACACATCCAAATCTAACTTCTTCACCAGTCTGGGTTCTCTTGGAGAGTGGCTGTCTTGGCAGGAATAGATTGGACTCAGGTCAGACAAGAGCCTCATGGACATCTGTCAGGATAAAGAAGTTTTCTGTGGGAAAGGCACCTGCTCCCATGTTGGACACTTAGGTATTAGGCCATCGGCTAGGATGAAGTATCCATTGACAGGAACACATAAAGGCTCACTACTGCCAAATGCCCCAGAGCTCCATCAGGGCCAGGTTAGAGTCTATAGCAACTGTCCAGGGAGGGACCTCAAGACCAACATGAAGGACTGAGCTTAGCACCTCACTTAACCTTCATTACCATAAAGATGCTATCTACAGACAGTCACGTTGGGGGTGACATAGGAATATGGGGGGCACCAGTCAGTTCATAAGAAAAGATAAAGTGAAAACATTTCAGACAAACAGGAGCTGATAGAGGCTTTACCAGTGGGTCTTCGCTACAGAAGAATTCTGAAGAAGGGACTTCTGTGGGAAGGGGAGTGGTTCTTCCAGGGAGAACTCAGGGTCAGGAATCTTAAATTTGGTGGTTGAAATTCATAATACTACTTTTAAAGAACCATATAAAATGATCATAAAATTTCTAAGGCTAGGGAAAATAAGTTAAATTCTACTAAGTTAAATAAGTTAAATTCATTCTACAGTCTACTCTGCAACCCACCCCAAAGCTTGTTCTCACACCCTCAACATTCAGTTTTCTTTTCAACATTTCATTTTTTGAGCCATTTGAGAGAAAATTACATATATCATTCCTCTTCTCCCCTAAGTACTTCAGAGCGACTCTCCACAAAACAAGCATATTTTCTTCAATAGCCAGAGTACAGTGATCAAATTCAGGAAACTTAATATGGATAATATCATATCTAGTCTATATTAAATTTAGTAAGTTATCCCAATAATGTTCCCCATAGATATTATTTTTCCTGGATCAGGATCCAAACACAGACAGCATTTAGTTTTCTTCTTCTTTTTCTTTTCTTTTTTTTTTTTGTCACATGGTAATAAGATGTTCTTTCTTTTTAATTTTATTTTTAATTTTTTAAAATATTTTTATTTGTTCTTTTTAGTTATACATGACTGTAGAATGTATTTTGACATATACATTCGTCAATTATAACTTACCATTCTTGTGGTTGTACATGATGTGGAGTTACACTGGTCATGTATTAATATATGAATGTAGGAAAGTCATGTCCTATTCATTCTACTGTCTTTCCTATTCCTATCACTCCACCCTTCCCCCCATTCCTCTTCCTACTCCCCCCCATCCAAACTGGTGAATTTGCACACCCCCACCCCACCCCCCTTTGGGAGTCAGCATCCAGAGAGAATATTCAGCCTTTGGTTTTTGGGGATTGGCTTATTTCACTTAGCATGCTAGCCTCCAGTTCCATCCATTTACCTGCAAATGCCGTAATTTCATTCTTCCTTATGACTGAGTAATATTCCATTGGGCATTAATTTTTCATTTCCCTGTCATCTCCTTTAATCTGCTGCTTTTCTTTTCTTGGTCTTTCTTTTGGAGCATACATGGCATTATTTCATAGAAAGTCCCTACTGGGAGTATTTCTGAAGTCTCTAGTAATTAATTTCAAGTTACGTGCTCTTGGAACACCACAAGAGTGATGTAGCATTTCAATTCAGCTCAGGAACTACATGGTGCCAATTTTGCTCTAATCTTGATGATGTTACTTTGATTAATGGCTAAAGTGGTCCCACTAGATCTCCCTTTGCAATTAGCAAGTAATTAATGGGAATACATTTGAGAGTATGTAGACATCATGTTCCTTCTTGAGCTTTTATCTACCAGTTTAAGCAACCTTTTTTCCCCCCTAAAACCATTATTACTTTGATAGTTGCAAATGGTGATTCTTCTCATTTCATTACTCCTTCTACATGTCAGTGTTAGTTGTCATTCTACTGTAATAAAGCAATCCTAATTTATTTATTTGTTCATTCATCTGTGTCAATATGGACTCATTATTCAATGGTCTACAATAAATTACTATCATCGTTTGGACTGTTAAGTTCCTTCAGATATGATCAACAAGAATCTCTTCAAGTTAAGATTATGAAAAAAATTTTCTGCCTTTTCACTTCTCAATTGACTACCACTCCCTTCAATCAAACCCATTCTCACCAAGGAAATTAAAAGCCTCTTTTAGGTAAATCAATGGACAATTTCCAATCCTTACCTTTTGATCATTCTTTCTGCAACCTTTAACATCACAGATCATTTTTCCCTTCTTGAATTCTTCTCTTCTCTTGGCTTCCATACTATCATATTCTTCAATTCACAAGAGACTAACTGGAAAAAGGAAGTCCATGTAGAATGCATTCTGCTGGGGAGGGTTTCATCAGAACTACCTAGTCTCTCAGTGGCTGTGGTCATAGAGTCTGACCCTTGGAATAGAAACATATTTTTGATGCAGCATCAAAATGCCTCATCAGACACGTTCTGAGTGTGTTTTAAGGGTTTAGTTCCTGACAACTTAGCATTTTTCTAATCTCCCAACACTTACATGGACTGTCAAGAATCCTTTTATTAATAGTCAATTTCCACAATCAGCCAGGATTGGCCTCTGTTTCTTGAGAACAAGAAGTCTGGTTAATCAGGCTATGGGATTATGCTGCCAGGGTTAGTGGTGATTTCAGTTTCCTATGGAAAGTGTGATAATAGAGGTGAAATATGCAAGTTCAC